CTCCTCGCTCTTCCTCACCTCGAGGTGTTCTGGGTCGGATGCACTTTGCACTGCTGCATAGAGCTCTGCGCCGTCCTGCAGAGCATGGACCTGCTGCCTTGTGAGAGCACGGGACAGCACATGCCGCTGTGCTGTGTCTTCTGGAGGAGGGAAGGGAGCAGCACTGATTAGCTAAACCAAAAATTTAGGAATGAACACTACAAAGTCAAGCAAAAACACCCAGAGATGGGAGGTTGGACAATAAAGAGTCACCAAGAGCAGTAGGATGGCTCAGCTGGTAATGAAATCAGTTACCAAGACTACCAACCTGATCTGATCCCCAGAGCCCACTAGGGAGGAGCGAACGGACTCTGTCCATGTGCTATGACATGCACATACAATCAATGAACAAGTGAAATAAGAAAATATTTTAGTCAGGTGGTGGGAATAGTGCACACCTTTAATCCCAGCACTTGGGAAGCAGACAGAGGTGGATCTCTATGAGTTCAAGGCCAGCCTGGTCTACAGATCGAGTTCCAGGACAGGCTCCACAGCTACAGAGAAACCCTGTCTCAAAAAACGAAAACACAAACAAAAAACCAAGCCAAAACAAACAAAAAATATTTTAAAAATCACCTATTCACTAAAATCTTCCTTTTTAAAAGAGGAGAGAAACTGGTGCAGTCTCCAGTAAAACATCACACACATGGGTTGATGTAATTAGATTTGTAACTTATAACTTAAATCATTGCTTCTCACATTGACTTACTTATTCATGGAAACAGTATCATCTGGTGATAACTTTAAATAAATAAGTTATGTGAGAGCCAATCTATGTTTTAAAATTTTGTTTGAGTAAGTGCATGCGTGTGTTTGCACAAAAGCACGACACTTGTATGGAGTGCCATAAAGGCCAGAAGAGGCATGGGATCTCCTGGAGATGGAGTTATTGGTGGTTGTGGGTGCTGGGAACTGAACTCAGGTCTTCTGCAAGAGCAGAAAGCTCTCTTAGCTACTGAGTCATCTCTCCAGCTCCCTAATCTTCCTGCAGATGCACATATTTAATACCTACAGAAATATTCTGAGCAAAAACATGGAAGCAAAATCTTAGCAACAAAAAGGTAGATTAGAAAAGGGCACTTTAAGAGTTGATCACGGATGCTGATGTGTGGGAATAAGTCCTACCAAGTTCCTTAGAAACTCACAACTTCAATGACACATGCTGGTGCACGACTGGACAGAACACTGGGGAAGAGGTGTGGCTGGCTCCTTATGGCCACACTTCTAATACCAAGGATTCCCCAGACACTCAAACTCAGCTTATGAATTCATGCCTGGGGTGCGCTGAGGTAGGAAGACCAAAAGTTGAAAGACTGCCTGAGCTAGAGTTGATCAACTTTGTAAGATCCTACCAAAGAAAGGAAAGAGAGAGAGAGAGAGAGAGAGAGAGAGAGAGAGAGAGAGAGAGAGAGAGGAGGGCTCTTATTTAAGGACCCTGAAAAACGACACCTTATCTGTCACCTCTCACTGTCTCAGACAGTAATCTAAAAGCTCAGTTCTCAAAGAAGCAATGACAATGAGAGTCAGCTCAGTTTTCATTTCTGTATATGTGTTGTCTTTTGTAGGTTAAAAAAAAATCCGATGCAGAATTAAAAAAGAATATATTACTCAATGAGAATTCATGTAATTACAAAATGTTGTGAGAAGTAACAATTTGTAATGTGAAGCCATTTTACCTTCATGGTCTCTAAAGTCTGCCTGGACTTTGGTGAACAAGGCCTCCAGCTTCTTCTGTTGGGCCCCTGCAAATTTCACTGCTTCCTTCTCCTCCTCTTTCTCATTACGGAATATGTACAATCCAGATGCCGTCTTCTCCACCCACTAACAAGTTACCGAAAACAGGAAGGGACATTCAGACTCTCTCCAAGGAAAGAACTTACATGGTAAGTTTCAAATGTACCATACCTGCAAAGGGTACACTCTCTGAACAATGACGTCCACACAGCCAACACTTCCTCCATCGCTGAACAGTGAGGACAAGGGCAGAGGGAAAGGTCTGGGGTCATGAAAAAACCCCAGCTTGCTGTGCCAACGAGCAGGTCGTGTGCTGTTGGCGGAAATCTGCACAAGTTAAAGAGGAGAAGTTAAAGACAAACTGATTTCTACACTGCAACTTTCAATCTTTTGGGATGCTTTAAGAATATTCACTTGTTGCCAGGCAGTGGTGGTGCACGCCTTTATTCCCAGAACTAGTGAGGTAGAGACAGGTGGATCTTTGTGAGTTCAAGGCCAGTCTGATCTACAGATCAAGTTCCAGGCTGCTACACAGAGAAACCCTGTCTCAAAAAACAAAACAAAGCAACAACAAAACAAAACCAAAAAACACAACCTAAAACCTAAAAAAATAAAAACTAAATAATTCACTTGTATGTGTGTAGGAGGTGGTGAATAAGAAGCTGGTTCAGCAGTAAAGAGTATTTGCTGCTTTTGCAAGGGGCCTGAGTTCAGGTTCCAGCACCCATAGGATTGCTCACAACTCCAGGTCCAGGGCATCCAATTTCCTCTTCTGGCCTGAGGGAACTGCATGCATATGGTGCACAGGCAAGCAAAACACTCATATTCAGAAAATAAACTTTTTAAAAAATTCAGCATTTACATATCTCATAAAGATAATTGATAAAGGTTAAAAAAAAAAAGGGGGTAAGCAGAAAAAGGATACAGAAGGGAAAATACTTCTATATTGTACTTCTCAGGAACATTTCTACTGAAGGGCTTGGGGTGTAATCTACTACAGAGCACTTGCCCAGCATGTGTAGGATCTGATCCCTTGGCAACACATGTATGTACACCCACACAGGCACACTTACTGCTGCTACAAGGGATCAACGTTATTTAAATATTTCTAGTAAAATAGATTAGGGGGTGGGAGATGGTTCAATTGGTAAAGCGCTCACCCTGTACACATGAGGATCTGAGTTTTATTCCCAGAACCATTGTGAAAATGCAGGAGGGGTGGCAGGCACTTGTAACCCCAGTGCTGGGAGAAGGAGACAGAGAAGTACAGGCACTTAAATTCAATTTGGTACAGACTGATTCTTATTCAGTAACTGCAACTGCATTTACCTCAAGAGATAGCTCTGTCTTCCCTAGATAGGAAAAACCCTTAGAAAAATTTGCTTTTACCAGCACATCGTCAAGAGATGTTATCCCTTATGACAAAAGAAAACACAACATTTTCAGTTAATTGCCTGTCTAGGATATAACAGAGTCATGGCTGGTTCTTGCCTAGACTGTGCACTAGTGTGATTTACCTTCAGCCTAAGAGAGTCCAGTGCTTCTAGAGGAGTGCAGGCATCAGGAGAGCCCACCAGCTCTGCCCCGTAGGTAATGATCTTCTGACCCACAGTCAGTCTCCCGCTCTTCACAAGAGCCACAAGTGGAGGGTCTAGCTGGGCCTTGACAGCATACCACCCATCTGTGAGTTCAACTGTGTCTATGCTCTTGGGATCTGCACCACTAGTTTTACTGCCTGAGGTTTCCGGTCCGCTTGTGCTTGATGCAATGATGTCAGAAACACAGAGAACGAGTGTTTTTGCAGCTGTATCATCCCTTTCCAGGATCTTCTTTAGGGCCGATCTGCTGCTGTGGTCAATTTCCACATCGTATCTGAAAAATGAGACGAAAATGCTATTTTAGGAATTGTACCCCTGGGGTTTCAAGGTAAACAAAGCACTGCATACTCTTTAGTCCCAGCACTTGGAAGGCAGAGGCAAGCCAGTCTCTGAGTTCAAGGCCAGCATTGTCTATACAGAGAAGCCCCGCTACAAAAAAAAGTCAATATATCAATATATATATATATATATCTCACCAAAGAAATACTGAAAAGAGAATTTTTAAGAATTTAGTTAGAAGCTAGGTGGTGGTGGTGTACGCTTCTAATCTCAGCACTTGGGAGTCAGAGGCATATGGATCTGAGTTTAAGGACAGCCTTGTCTATAGAGTGAATTTCAGGACAGCCACAGCTATACAGAGAAATCCTGTCTCAAAAAACAAAAAACAAACAAAAAAAAAATTAGCTACATATACACTGTTTAGCTTTTTTTTTTAATCATTAATATAAGAATACTAAAGACAAACATTTTTCTTTTTTTTTTCCCAAGACAGTGTGTGTGTGTGTGTGTGTGTGTGTGTGTATACATACATGTGTTTCTCTGTGCAGCTTTGGAGCCTGTCCTAGAACTCACTCTGTAGACCAGGCTGACCTTGTACTCAGAGATCCACCTGCCCCTGCCTCCTGAATGTTAGGATTAACCCAACAAGACAAAATGTTTTATTAACAATCTTTAACTACTGGATCAAGTTAGTAATTCACATGTCAGAAGAGAGGGGTGGGAGAAGAGGGAGATGGAGGCATATGAATGTTTTCCTTAAGTAGGGGCTGTCACTCATAACTGGTTCATGTACATCTTTGACATGGAAGTCACAGGTTACACAGGAACCTGTAGACTGCATGACACAGTCACTTACTGCCATGCTTTCAACTTGCCTGTATTTTAGTTGAAGCAGCACTCTTTCTGGGTTTAGGCATCTGTTAGCAAATTCCTTAGGAAAAGCAAATTCCATAGCTGCCAGTTTCCATACAATCCACCGATAGTGATTAGAGACCCAAAGGCTAGAAATAAGCTTTGGATCCACACCTGGAGTGTCACATAGAGCCCTGAGCAAAGAAATATACAATACAATAAAAACACAGTATTATCTGGTTCCCCAACCATCACTGTTCTCTTGTGCAAAACCATGCAGTAAGCTTTTCTACATACACACTAGTAAGGCAATGCTGTACAACTAAGCGCTTGATGTCTAAGTATTGAGATTTGCTAATTATTTACTGAGCATTAAATAGCTCTGTTTAAATTTTAGTATTTTACTACACACACACACACACACAAACACACACACACACACGCTCTATATATACTCTTCACTTTTTAAAAAACATTTTATTGACTCTTTGTGATCCCACTGATCTCCCACTCATCACTAATTTGCATGTCATCTTTTGTGTAGGGGCATGCTGACCTTCTCTGTATTGTTCCAGATTTAGTGTATGTCTGTCCAAACAAGCACTAGTGCTTATATTTTTAATATTTACTAAATTAGAGAGTGAGAGAGGAAAATGACACAAATGGGGGAATACCATAAGGGAAACTCAAATTGAACTGTTTCTGCCGTAATGTGTAAAAAATATAGCCAAATAAACAAAAAATATACTATACTTCATTAAGTCCCAGGATAAATTACATCAATTTTCAAAAGATTTCAAAAGAGTGTTTAGTAAACCAGAATATATTTTAAAAGACTCCTGTTTAAGAAAACAAACAAACAGCAACTTTTTAGCTTAAGAGCCATAGGAAAGAGGAAGATGGCTGGAGAGATGACTCAGTGGTTAAGAGCACTGACTGCTCCTCCAGAGACCTGAGTTCAATTCCCAGCAACCACAGGGTGGTTCACAACCATCTCCAGTCATGCCCTCTTCTGGCATAAAGGCATATACACATGCAGATAGAGCCCTCATACACATAAAATTAAAAAAAGAAATGGAAAGAAGGAGAGAGGGACAACAGAACAGGTGAAGGTTAACACAAAATCTTTCTGCACACAGCACCTATAAAACTCTTCTTTTCCAGCCTTCCCATCATTGGAGGGGATCAGCCATCCACCATCTGCCAACTGAATGCCCTTTCCAGCACACAGATCTTCTTTACCAAAATAATCCTGAATGTCAAACTGAAAATACTCTGCATTTTTGCTGTTAATGCTTATGCACTCTTTAGAAACACCATACATATAGAGCTGTAAAACAAAACAGAAAAATTATAATAAATAAAAATCAATACAGTTCTAATAAAAAAATCAAACACCATCCTAGCATATAAACAAAACTAAATTTATCCAAAATTTTTCATTTAAATACTAAAATAGTCACTATAAGATGTTATCTGGCCCAGGGGTATAGCTCCTTGATAAAGTGTGTGCTTAGCATGTAAAAAGCACTGGTTGTGAAACACACACACACACACCACGCACACACAGACATGCACATACATGAACATGAACCCCCTCTGCACTGAAACTATAACGCTTGTAAACAGCTCATGTATCTAAGAGGTGGTTGCACTCTCCATTTCCGTATCTTTCTCTTGCCAAATTGGCCACAAGAAGGCCCCGCGTCTGCTACCCACAGGGCCAGGCTGCACTTCTTTAGCAGTATGTATACTAAACTGAATGGAGCACACGTTAGCATGCCCCCTGCACCGGCACACATGCCAATTCACCTAGTGTTCCACGGTTTCAACCCATTATGCTGTACAAACAACACGCAATAGTTAAAGGCAGGGTGCTGTCAGGAGCTTGCTCTCACCCTGCCCCCATGCCCAGCCAAGTGTCTTTCCCTTCAAGCAGAGTGGCTCTGACCCCGGAGATGACTTGGGCTGTGACTTAATCCTCTCTATGTTTCAGTCTTCTCGCCAGACAGATGGACATTTCTCAGAAGAGGGTGAAGGTCTCTGTGTCACTGGGCCAGCCATCTGAAGTTCTTAGGAGTACCCAGAGTTTACAAAGCTCCAGTCCACACCGTTAGTGCCACTGCTGTCACATCCAGCCTTCTATTCGGGAATATTCTACAAACAGTAACACCTTCACTAGATTCAAACATCAGAACCTCTGGACACCACAGGGCCATCAGCCACTCATACTTTATATTCAGGGCTGACTAGACTCTTCCAATGCCTAGCTCAGAGCACTTACACCATCACCACCAGCAAGGGCTAAAACGCAAACAGAAGTTATAAAGCACAGATCAGTTTGGTGAGAGTAAGACATGCCTGGCAGAGGACAGGGAGGCTGCCACTGCAGGCTGATGAGGAAGCAGAATTGCTTTTTCATTTTATCAGCAGTATTCTGTTCATTCTCTAAACAAGACAGTTTGCAAATTCTAGCTAAGGGCATGAGGCTTTCCCTTTGCTGTACCAGAGCATACCTGCTTATGAGAACGTGCAGAGGGAAGCCGGCCTCCTACTGCAGCCTGCAGAGAGATCCGAGGCAGGGTGGATGATTTGGTAAGATAGAGACTGCCTGGCTGTGGACAGAGCTGATGCCTGTCTTTCTTTTTAATTCGTATATTCTGTAGGTCTCTGGCATTCTGAAGGCTTGTCGTTAAATCTGTTAGAGGACAGTTTGCAAAAGTGAAATGGGTGCAAAGTTAAAAGGCACAGCCTGACTGGGCATTGGTGGAGATTGCCTTTAATCCCAGCATTTGGGAGGCAGAAGCAGGCAGATCTCTAGCAAATTTGAGGCCAATGTGGTCTACAGAGCTAGTTCCAAGACAGCCAAGACTACACACTGAAACCAGATCTCCAAAAACCAAATAAATAAATAAACAAATAAAATAAAAATATCCAGTAAGTCATAGTAGCCCTGAATTGTACACCTAATGGTCACTTTATTTTCTGGGACAGGTCTCACTCAAGCCTAAATTAGCACTGAACTCCCAGAATTCTTCCTGTCCCAGTGTCCTGACAGCTGGGTTTATACGACATCCACCAGAAGCTATTCTTTTTTTGAGATAGTGTCCTGCTCTGCAGCCCAGGCTCTCTTGGGACTCACAATGCTCCTCACTCATACTCTTGAGTGGTAGCATTTCAGGCCAGAGCACATCATTCCTAGTCTTGAACCACTATTCTGTTTGCCCTGTGGGTACATTTGTACACATGTGAGGACCACAGGTTAATATGGAGTGTCTTTGAGTCAAGGTCTCTGACTGTTCCAGAGCTCACCAATTTGACCAGGTTGGCTATCCAGAGAGCTCCAGGAATGCTTCTGCCACAGCCACCTCAGCACCAGAATTACTTAAGTGGCACCACACTTTGATTTTATATGGTTACCAGAAAAATGAACTCAAGGTCTTATTCATGTACGACAGGCAATTTATCCTAGCTCCTGGCTTTTGCTTAAAAAACAAACAAAATAGAAGAAAATAAGAAAGTCTGCAAGCAGTTACCCTTGAAAGAAGGAAAGAAAGATTTCTTTCAAGGAAATCACTAGAACTATTTGAACCTAACCTTGGGAATCAAGAAACCTGAAATGTTAAAAAAGGTTCTGAACTTACTAATCACCATAAAAGGAAATGCTCAGGATAATATTAATAGGCAAACTAGCTGATCTAGTGGTTCTCAACTGTAGGTCATGACCCCTTCACAATAGTTCATAACAGTAGCAAAATTACAGTTATGAAGTAGCAATGAAAATAATTTTATGGTGGGGGGGTCACCAAAACAAGAGTAACTGTATTAAAGGGTCACTGCATTAGAAAGGTTGAGAACCACTGCTATAATCAAAAAGTGAAAACTAGGACTAGCAGGGAAAAGTGCTCTCTACACAAGCCAGACAACTTGAGTTCAAACCCCCAACTCCCTAAAGTTGTCTTCTGACTTCCACGTGTGTGTCGTGGCTCCTGTACCTGCACACACACAGAAAGATTTTAAAAAATTATTACAAAAAACATGTCAAAGAAATGTCACCCAATACCTAAAGCCTCTTCTTCACACTCTGCGACAATTCCAGCGGCCTTCTGATGGGAGCTGCCTTTGTGAAAGTGACGAATGTCGCCGTCATGCACGCCTCCCCTGCCTCCATCTCTGCTCATTTGGTTCTTTCCCTCTGAATTAATATTCTCGCTATTACAATGTTCATCTCTGGGAAACTGTGATTTCATCTTGAAAGGTGGGACGAAGACTTTGGGGGGTTTGCCTGTGACTGAGTATCTTGTCTTTTCATTTCTTGTAGCAGAGACTTTGTTTGCCTGCTGGTCTGAAACTGCAGGACTGCTTGAAGATTTTTCCAAAGCCGAATGCACAGAAGCATGGCCCTTAGACAGAAGTCCTTGAGCAGGTGCAGTGAAATGTGGATTCTGCATTTCTTGCCTTTCTTTGCTTGAGCTGCATTGGGGAGAGAGCACTTAAGTGGGCTTGTTTGACACAAAGTGTTTGCATGCGTGCCTTTCCCCCAGATCCTCAGTGCTACCCGGCACTATTCTGGTGACTGCTTTGCTGTCCTGAGTGTAGTCATTATAGAATGATACCACAGTGTTTAAGGCTTTTGCTGTTCTGTATCTTTATTCCCAGCCTTTGACTCCACAGCCTACCTCCCACAGCAGCCTGTGCCTCTCCTGCTCTGCACAGCTCTTCCTGTAGGGGGCGTGCCTGCTAGTAAGTAGTCTCCTCTGGAGCCCTGTTCTCTAGTTTCCAATCCAATCTCTTTTCTCTCCTCCAACTAGACACATTTCTAATTCATTCTAAATGAATTAGAGAGCTTAACTTAAAAAAGAAATCACCTTTTTCCTAAATTATACTCAATTTATACTAAAAGAGAAATTACACATATCTTACCAGTAGGGTCCACAGGTAACTGGCTCTAGAGACATGTGGTGTGTGAACAATCTTCTGTCTTTTATCGTACCTAAAAAAAAAAAAAAAACACCCTATATCATTAGTGAAAAGTAGGTTTCCGTTGCCACTTTTCTTTATTACACATTACTGTAAATATTCACAAAACTTTAATACATTGACATTTTCAATGCACATTATGGATACTTAGTAATTACTGATTACACATAATTTGCAAGCTAATTATTACTATAAACCAAATAATCCACATTTAAAACCTCAGGGAAATCAGTTTTAAATTTAGTAGTGTTAGCAATCATTACAGTTAGCTAACACCAGCCTTAATATCAACTCTGAAATTTGGTTTTATCTATCTATCTATCTATCTATCTATCTATCTATCTATCTATCTATCAATCATTTTGGTTTTTTGAGACAGGGTTTCTCTGTATTGCTTTGGAGTCTGTCCTGGAACTAGCTCTGTAGAGCAGGCTGGCTTCGAACTCACAGAGATCCGCCTGCCTCTGCCTCCTGTGTGCTGGGACTAAAGGTGTGCGACACCAATGCCCACTGAAATTTGGTTTTATGAAGGTTCAGAAGCAACATTTTAGATAGTATTCATCCTCAATATGCAATTTGTTCATTAATTGGGGATTAGCTGAATAAACTACGATCAAGAATGTAACTATGTAATCATGCAAATGAATAAAGATATTTACATATTCATTAAGCAGCATTCCCTAGCTTTGCAGAATGCCAACATTGTAGTCAGTGAGGTTTATCTGAGGCATAAATGATTATAGCTAATTAAAAACTTTTCCCAATACCCTGCCATGAGGACTTGAAATACAGTTGGCATTGGCAACTCCATATTTCTCTATGGAGACTGTCAAAAAAAAAAGCAAATAAGGTACAATATGTAGACAGATGTTATTAGAGAATGTCTGCAAGAGCAAACTGAAAGCCACTGAGTAAGAGGTGGGGAAATTGGAGAATAGCCTGGAGTGTGACTGTGGTGGATTGAAGTCTCCTCCAAGTATACCTTCCTTCAGAATTTATGAATGAGTTATGCAAGTGTTTTGTTCAAGTGTATGATTAAAGAGTAAGGAAACTAGGGGTAGGAGAGATGGTGCAGTACTGGCTGCTCTTGCAGAGGACCAGGGTTCAATTCCCACCACCCACATAGTGACTCACAACTGTCTCCAGTTATAGGGGATCTGATGCCTTCTTCTGGCCTCTACACATACCAGGCACACACATGGTGCACATATATACATACATGTAAAACATCCATACACATAAAAACAAAACAAACAAAAATCCCAGAAAACTCTAAAGCTAGAAACAAATAAACTTAAGCTAACTATCAATTCTGCACATGCAGAATTATCCTGACATCTGAACATAGCACAATGATAACACATCCTTAAGGACTTATAAGACAAAACTGCAAAGAATTCTCCCTCTATATCTATCTATCTATCTATCTATCTATCTATCTATCTATCTATCTATCTATCTGAAACTATTATGTCTATACTGTGGGGAGGTGGTTATCAAGGCTGGTCTGTGGAACAGAGGGTGAGTGCCTACAATGCTCTTAAAAGGACCTGCTATCGGCACTGTTACGTTTGCCTGTTCACTGTCAAGGAGAACCTCTGCACTGTTTGTACATCTTCCTACAGACACCACCTTGACCTCAAGAGTCTATTTTCACAGCTGGGCTCAGAAACAGTAGCTACTGTTTTGTTTTTGTTTTGCCACAGGATCACCACGGGTATCTGAGAGAATAACACCAAACTAGTTACTCAGATTTGGGGATTCAGCAGACTTTTGTCTTTTTAAAAGAGCTGATTTTACTTATTAGTACTGTGTGTGCCTGTGTGCATGATGGTATGCTGGTGGAGCTGACAGGACAACTTTTGGAAGCCAGTTTTGTCCTCCTAAAATATGAATCATGGAGCCAGGCGTTGGTGGCACACGCTTTTAATCCCAGCACTCAGGAGGCAGAGGCAGGCCGATCTCTGTGAGTTCGAGACTAGCCTGATCTACAAGAGCTAGTTCCAAGACACCCTCCAAAGCCAAACCCTGTCTCGTCATAAGGCATGGTGGTGGTGGTATATGCTTATACCAGCTGAACCATTTCACCGGCCTGACGCTTTTCTTAAATAAATGAAATAAGGTTATGACTTCAAGGATGACAGTAACAATATTTTGTCTGAAATAAAACTCAGCTTTCAAGTGACAAGTAAAATTTAGGAAAGTCTGTGTCTAGTTCTGTACATTTTCTAGTAAGTAAGACTTTTCAGACTAAGAAATGATGTCATTGACAAAGGTGGATAATGTTGGGTACTAAAATTTGTCAACTTGGGCCGGGTGGTGGTGGCATACGCCTTTGATACTAGCATTTAGGAGGCAGAGGTAGGCAGATCTTAGTGAGTTTGAGGCCAGCCTGGACTACAGAGTGAGTTCTAGGACAGGCTCCAAAGCTACACAGAGAAACCCTGTCTCAAAAAAAAAAAACCAAAAACCAGGGGGCTGGAGAGATGACTCAGTGGTTAAGAACACTAGCTGCTCTTCCAGAGGTCCTGAGTTTAATTCCCAGCAACCACATGGTGGCTTACAACCATCTGTAATGAGATCTGGTGCTCTCTTCTGCTATGCAGGAATACTTGCAGACAGAACAGTGTATATATAATAAATAAAAAAGAAAACCCACATAAATAAATTAATTGTCAGTTTATAACTGGGGAGATGACTCATGGGTGCTGACTGCTCTTGCATAGGACTTGGGAAGCATACACTGAAGGTAACATCCCCTCCAGGGAACCTGGTGGCCCTGGCCTTCTCAGGCACTGCAGTCATATGCACAGACAGACTCCTGTGAATGCGAGCACACACATGCACACACACACACACACACACACACACACACACACACACACACACACATAAAATGTTTTTGTTGGGAAATAAAAAGAGGAACATCAATAGACTGTAGTGTACCAAGAGGAAAGGAATCAACTATATGTAGTAAGTTGAAAGATGGAGTCAGTCAAGAGCTGGGTGTTGGTGGTGCATGCCTTTAGTGCCAGCAGAGGCAGGTGGATCTCTGTGAGTTGAGGCCAGCCTAGTCTACAGAGCTAGTTCCAGGATAGGGTCCAAAGCAATACTGAGAATGAGAAACCCTATCTCGGAAAACCAAAAAAAAAAAAAAGATGGAATCAAATCAGGGCTAAAAAATGCCCACCTCACTGGGTAGCCTGACTTTGATAAAATGCTGAAGTCAGTTACTGGTTTCATTAAGTTTAACGTCACTATTTCATAAGCATCCTACCCTTTGCTATCCAAGCTTTCACAGTACCCTCCTAGGTATCACTGGGACATTCTCATAACAAGGCAAACACAAGAACTGAGAGAGAAGCTGAAGAGCATCATGCACAGTACTTGTTGAGGAGGAAAGATGAATAAAAACAACGTTACCATCTGGAGCACTTTTTGAAGGCTGTAAGGATTTTCCTCTATTTTCTATTATCCTGTCAAATTCATTTAGTAAGCTTCTTTTGATTGGGGGTTGTCCTAAAAAGAAAAGTTCATACTTGTTTGTAATTATACCAGTTTTACCTTTTAAAAAAAAAACCTAGATTTCACTTTTTAAAACTGAAGTACTGACTCATGCATGTTAAGCAGTGAAAACAAAACAAACCTCCACAGTTTAAGTATTATAAAGTTAAATTTGCTCATACAGATGGATCCTATAGAATATTTGATGACGTAAACCTGTTTCTGGCAGGATGGCTTATAATGAATTGGCTTCCAGGCCTCCCTCTGCAATATGATAGGGCTAGATCAGAAGAAAAATGGTTACTCCGATACTATGAGTCCACAAGCTTGTTTAAACCATCCACTTAAGGGCTGGAATGTTAGCTTTGACAACTATCATGACTGCAATGTCAGCTGATTCAATATTAAAAATATTCTTTCTAGTCTGAAACACCACCAAAAATTTACATTTGGGGTCAACCTAATAAATAATTTCACTAAGAATTAGAATACTGTCCAATGGCACTTAGAGTAGGACATGGGGCCAGAGAGATGGATGGCTCCATGGTTGAGGGCACTGGCTGCTCTCCCAGAGGAACCAGGCTTACTTCTCAGCACCCATATGGTGCTACCCAGTTCTAGGGGATCCAATGGCCTCTTCTGGTGGGTACCAGGCATGTACATGGTATACAGATATATATGTAAGAAAACACCCATATTCATAAAATAAAGAACTGTGGAAAAGAAGAGGACTTATTTAATACACCAGCACTTAGAATACTTGTGAGGGAAGCAAGCAAACACTAAGCTCTCTGCATAGATAAGTAATGTGTCAGGTTCAATGTTAAGTATCTTATTTTACATTCTGCGATTTAAAAAAATCTAATCAATTAACTGACAGATGTTTCTGAATCAAGAGCTATGCTATTTAACCCAGGCTGACCTTGACTTTAAGGCACTCCTCCTGCTGAGGCTCCTGAATGTTGGGATTACAGCTATCAAACAAGAAGTCTGGCAGAACAAAGCACAAACCTATCTTTACAGTTATCTGAGAGATAATAACTACATCTTAAGGATATGGAAACAGACTCAGAACTGAGGTGACAGGAAGAGTACTATAACTAAGTAATACACTCAGTAAGAACTGAGTAAGTCACTGGGCTATTCTAGAAACCAGCTTCTAACTGCCAGGATTGGAAACTCTTTACACACATGGGAAAAGTTAACATTACACCAGCTTTGATGGAAAGGAAACTTCCTGGCATGACTTTTCAATTGTAACTATTAGCAATCTCTAAAAATACACTAAAGAACCTTAAAAGACGACGTATGGATACAGACTTATAGATATAAAGAGCAAAATCACTGTCCTCTAAACTCTACAGAAAAAAAAAAAAAAAAAAAAAAAAAAAACTTTAACACTCCAGCGTATGAGACTACTACTGAGGACAGAGACCAGCAAACCACAGTAAAAGCAAACCCTTACCAATTGCATCAACAGCCACTCCTCTTCTCTTCCTAGTTCTCAAATTTAACAAAGCCTCATTTGGGGGGCAGGTAAACATTGAGTATTTGTCATAACTTGGTTCAGAATCTGTCAGCTCATCATCTTCCATAAAAGCTTTGGCAATCTCCACTGCTTCTGTTTCAAAACAGTTCTCTGGCTCTTTGGTGAAAGCAGAACAGTCTCCTACAGTGGTTCTCACAGGAACATCAGGGAAAGTTTCCATTTCATCGCTTTCTGTTTTTATGTTTTGAGGGAAGGTTTGTTCTTCTTCCACAAGATAAGCCTTCTTAAGGGACACTTTGGTTCCTAATACTAATTGTGTGTCTTGCTTAAACTGAGAGAGTTGGGGAGAAACATCAAGAGAGTGAGTGTTGCCCAAAGAAGCACTTTCTTTATAGCTTTTTGGTAAACTGAATTTGCCATCACAGGTTTTCTGCAGTGTAGAGTTTACAGGATATTCTGGGGTTCTCATTTCAACACAATATTGAGGAAGTATTTTTGATACATCTTCAGATGTTGGTGAACAGTGGAGAGTAGGTTCAGTTCTGATCAAATCAAATTCCTCTAACATTCCCTTAGCTTTGCGTAAGGCACTTTCTGAAACTGTGACCCGTTTCCCACCTGCTGTACTAAACCCAGAGAATACAGATGAATTGACATTGCTTGCAAAGGGTTTTGGGAGTGACAATACACCCTCCGGGTTATGCATGGCACAGCTTTCTCTTCTCCCAGAGTGGTCTGATTGTTCGTGACTTTCCAGAGACACTGTGGAAGGTAACTGCTTAGCACCACCATCCATCTCAGAAAACACTTGCCTTGCCTTTTCTAGTGATGCA